CTAATGAAAAAATATTTACTTTGTACTTATTGAATGTTTATATTTTTGCAGCAAAAAAAAGAAAAAGTGATTGACAAATTTTCAACTAATCTTGCATTTTTGTTTCGAAGAAAACGGAATATTCATGGTCGGTGTGATTTTTTTATTCAGTAAATTTTCGAGATCGAAATATTAGTTTTCGACAAAATTTTTTATACCCCATTGAAGATATCGACTTCCTGAGTTCAAATGTGAAAAGATATTTTGCCTCCAATTAATTTTTGTAAAATTCTGGGGTTTGAAAATTGCCAAATTGGCCATATTTTGGACTAAATTATGCTCGCTTTGAAGAGTTTATTCATGATGCTGAGAGCCTAACGCGAATTATTTATGCGTGGCGAATTATCCTGCTCAACAAAATCGTTCCAAATTGAATTGAGGCTAGCTACTTGGTCGTATTAACTACGTACGACTCAAAATTTTACACTTTGATATTGTCCAAAATGTAGGTTTTCAGTATTTTCATTTCCCAAAAACTATTTGATATGAATAAAAGGGACAGTCGGAACATTCAGGACTTTGCCCTGATATACAAGCAGTCTTGTTTATCTTTAAAGATTGAACAAAAATTTCGAATAATCTTTTTTTTTGTAAGATTTAACAAAAAATTGTTGAAGCAAAAAATTTGCTAACGGGGGACTTAATATAGTTTTGGAAATCCAAAAAATATATTGTTTTAACGATGGTTGGTTGAAAGTGCAGATACGATCATCTCTGATCTTCCTGCTACACCCCCCTCCTATTGTTTAAGGTGAGATTTGTTACAAGGTACAAAATTTAATAAATGCATAAACGTTCAACGAGTTCTCTGTAGGGTGGGGATTCTTCAGCTGGTACCATAGGCGGGAAATAGTAAAAACGATCCCCAGTTCTCCTGACTAGTCAATGTTTTTCAGCAATTAGCTCTGTGGTGTTTTTTCTTCACATTGCATGGTTCTGGCTGTTGGATTCTAAAACATTTCTAGGACGAGGTAGATGCTGAATTTTGGCAAATTTTCTGAACAAAAAAATGCCCCGCAGAGTTATTTATTTCTAACTCCTGACCCGATTAGCCAAAGTAATTTGTACTGCTAAATCAAAAATCAGAAGATCAATGGGCAGGGTCAATTTGTCTTGGTCATACATAAATCAGAAGAGGTTAGCGTTGATAAGTGTATTTAAAAAGAGGAATCTTTTTGGGCTTAAAATAGATAGTGATCAACTGACTATTTAAAAAAATGCCCGCGCTTTTTCATCCATTTTTCTAAGAAAAATTTGGTGGTAAGTTTTGAGATCAAAGACTCTAATCTTATGGTTGAAAAAAAGCTGGATTCATTTAACCGGTTAGGTGATCGAGGTGGCAAAAACCTCGTAGTATCCAAGAATTTGCCTTTGTCTTTAAATATGGGCTTTTCCATCTCTTCACGAAGTGGGAAGGAAGATCTATGACACAGGGTTTGTTTTTTTTTCGATTCGATTTTGACTACCTGTTTTAATTTTTGTTTTTGTCTTTCAGACCATTTATAACGGTTGCATTTAGCAAGTGTTATCAAAACGGAATATAGACTTTTTTCGCCTTAACAGTTTGATTAACAGAATCACTTGCACATTGGCTCATCATGAATTCAATTTTCAATATGTTTCCAGCACTTAGCCTGGAGGTGAAGACTACGTCTGGGCGGCAATGTTCGTGGGTTCGAATCTGACCAATAACTGTTTTATTTTAAACTGGAAGTATTCCTTTCCAAAACATGTCGGCCTGCAGTGCGTCTGCTTATGTTCTGACAACTTAGTTGCCACATCGTAGAACTAATTTTTTTGTACGTAATTTGGGGTCATTTCAAAAGGAGCATAAGTTTTATATTTCCATCCGGTTCGCATAAATTCTAAAATTTTTTGGAATACAATGTATACTTCAAAGTTTTTTATGACGACAAATAATTTTTCGGCTCTGCAGGAATTTATTTAAGTTTCTGGGGCTCAGTTGCCGCTTGTCATTCATTGATAGATTTTTTTAAATTGCGGCTGATTGTTTTTCTGGCCCTGTTTTCCGCAATAAGAACATAAAATCAGACAACGTTTTAATTTTTAAGTTAAAGTTTTTTGAACTGTTTTGTTTTTTTGTTTTGTTTTTTTTTTGTTTTGAATTGCAACTGGTACAAAAACCCGCTTTCCTTGTGTCTTACTGGAAATTTATTAGGTTGAAAGCTATCAGAGTGGAATAGTTTTTCAGACCATTTATCAGACCATTTATCAAATGTTTCTTGACTTTGAACTTTTTTCTATTTTTATCCATTCCTTCAATCTATATATTTTTCCCATTGTAGTCTCCCATTGAAGTCATGGTAGCTAAAAAAACAGCCAAAAAAACGTTAAAAAAAGATTTAAAAACATAATAAAAAAATTTTAGAAAAGTTTTCCAATTTTTTTCTAGCATGGATTTTTTTTTTTTGCGAATATAAGCTTGATCGGACCATTCTACAAAGTTTTAACTGCAACTAGCTAATTTTGTTTTTATTTTAAAAAAGTTAGCATCAATTTAGATTTTCGAATATTTCAAATCTCAGTTGAATGTGAAAAAAAGAGAGAATTATATATATAATTATATATGTGAAAACCAATATTTTGCAAGACTCATGCGTTGTTGAGATGAGTTGATCTTTAGTTTTTGATTTATTAGGTTTGTCTTTGATTGTATTAGCTTTGTCACGCAAAATCAAATGATTTAGGTAAACTTTATCATGGTCACATGTGAATCCTGTCACCCCTGATTTCATTGTTTCGAAAAGTTTTTTTTCAAATGAAATTTAGAGCAAAATATGAAATTGAATTGTTAATTTTTTTTCAAAAATTTGTGAAACTTTTTTTATAATAAAAAAAAAATTGAAAAACAAATCCGAAAAAAAAATTTAAACAAACATTTGGAAAAGAGTCATGAACACAACAAAACAGAAAATTATACTGATTTTTTTTTGAAAAAACTTTAAAAAAAATATTTTACAGAAACAAAAGTATAACCGTAGAGCTCTTTGAGCTTCTAGAAAACTCTATGATTTACTAGTTTTTGATAAAATTTTTGATAAAAGGGAATCAATAGCTTAAACCTGTTAACGTGTGTTAACGTGTACAATTTCTAGGACTTTCTCCTGAAAAAAACACCAAGTTCTAAATAACAGTTTTCACCAGGTTGGTTTTCACGCTGTGCACCAACAAGTAATTCTTGATTTAGACTGAACATTCACACCAGTTATCAAGGCTTGAATTTAAAATTTTTAAAATTCTTTTCAGAGTTTTTGAAGGTTTTTGGTGTTTATTAAATTAGTTTTGTTTTGTTTTGAGGATTGATTGCTGCTAATTTTAGTGCTAATTCTTATAAAAATTAAAATTGAAAAAACAACAGCCTTGCATCTGTTACCGAACTTTTACATACTGATACTAAAAACAAGAATTTGAAATCCTCTAGAAATCTTACTAGAACTTTACCAAATTTTGATTTCTTTCAAAGTGCAGTTCACAACGCAAAATCTTGAAAAATTCTTATAAGACTTTTATTATATTTTTAATTCAGAATACAGTTCAGAATAATTCATTTTTTGCTAAGATTTTTGAGTAATTTTGAGAAACTTGTACATTCCTATAATTGTGCTGAAATTTTTTTGAAGACTTGTGAAAATTTGAGAAAAGATCTGATATTATAAAGCTTGCTGTTTCTCCAATTTTCTATTATAATAGGACTGACTAGCGGCAATTTTCTATTATAATAAGACTGACTAGCGGCAAGCATTTCTGATTATTCACTCTAAGATTTTTGTTTAACTATTAGCTTTCTTAAAATCATTTACGGTCCCCCTTTGAAACTTTTAAGAAATCCATTTTTGGCCGACCGACCCTAAAATTTTTCTAAAGGCGCCTAAGGCGCCAATATATACTAATTTTAGGGGGGACCGCGCGCCGAAAAAACGCAATTTTTCGGTCAAAATTTTCCAAAAAGTGCCTAAAAACGCCTTTTATGGCCTGTTTTTTCAAAATTTTGCCTGCGGCGCAAAACATTTGGCCAAAATTGGGACAAAAGCGTGCTTTGGGAGAGCTCGAAAAATCAATTTGGTCGACCTAAAAAAAATAAAGGTCGTCAAAATTTTCGAAAATTTTTTGAAAATCCGCCCCCCCCCCCTCGAGAAAATCCTAGATCCGCCCCTGCTCTTATTTTATTTTGACATCAAAACTTAGATCCGTATAAGTTTTTTTCAAGTTTCTTAAAAGATCTAAGCATTTACTAACAAAGTTTCACCTTAAATTTTCTAACTCCCAACTTAAGAATTGTAAATTATAAAACCCATTGACCCCATTCCCGCTTTAGCCTCTTTACCGTTTTAGCCTCACAAAACAAAACATATCAAGAAAAAATCTTGCTGTTTTTGGGTAATAATTTTATTGTGAATGTTGTCGACCCAAGATGATTCGTGAACAAAATCTTCAAACAAAACTCAGATCACGATCGATCGAAATTTTTCAATGCAATTAATAACTCAAGTCTTTACAGGGTTTATGAAAATGGCCATTCTGGCTAATCAACTAATTCTAAATTCTAAACCCAAATATTTCTAAAACCACCACAATTTTTTCTATATGTAATTCACAAAAAAGAGTACGTCTGGAAAATCAGGTGATTTTTGATTTTAGTAAACTCATCAACGCTTTTCCAATAGTCTGTTTGTCTATGATAAAGCGATAACTGTTCAGTTCGTTTCCGCGCATCTTTCGGAACTTATGTCCGGTTTTAATGCGATGTGATATAGCGACGTTGCTTGTTTTGAGCCTGTACATAGCTACAGATATGGTTTGCCAGATGATACTACGCCTAAATAATGAGCAGACAACATGTACCAGACCATGTAGAAGACTATTTTGACTAGTCAGAAGAGTAGATCTGGTTTTTAAGATAAAACTGGTCAGCAGTCAACATAAGTCACCGTAGAACTGACCTTAATTCCTTGTAGGAGACGATAGACAGCAGCACCAGAAGATTCCCAGGCACCCCCAGAATGAGCCAGATGAGACTCATGGCCAGATATGCTACGTCCCACTGCCACTCCAGAGTGTTGCCGGTCTCTTCTAGAAGAGCCCCTATGACGTCATTGGCCGACAAATCCTCCTCGGAGCCTAGAAGTGTCGTGGTGGTGAGGGAGTCGTTCAATGTGACGCTGGTAACTCCCATGACATCCATCATGCTGAAAAATCAAGTGGTTATCACAACGTACTGATTTATTATAAACTGAGATACAGATGTATTGTAAAACTTCTAGCAAAACGTTAAATTTTAGAAAAACATGTTTGGAGATGTAGAAAAAAATTATGCCGATTAATCTACGTCTGATAATAATAAGATGTAATATGTATTATGTTTTAAAAAGTTATTTTGAATTACCTTATGTATCAAGCCTGAATTTTTTTTCTCATTTTGTTTGTTTGAGTTATTTCTTATTTAACAAGAATCATTATTTTGAAAAAAAAAAACTAATTTAAAGAAAAAAATTAATGCACAAACAATATGGCTAGTGTACATGAAACTATTACCATGTTTTGTTCGTTTTCCATTTATTCCAAATGATCAGCATGCCATATATGGAAACAGAAAAACCTAGGCAATTTTTTTATTATTGCATAAAAGCAAAGAAAAATTGGGCAATTTTTTGAAGTAAATTGACTCTCAGTTGAGTTATTAGCTAGAGATTTTGTTAGAATTATTTAAAAGACATTCACCAACCTGTCTGCTTTGCAAAAAATCAAAGATTGACCAAGTTGCCGCAGATTCCCCAATGAAAGAAACTACAAAGTCAACCAATGGAAATAAAGGACCAACTTGTAATGTTTATGATCATTCTGAGATCTGTTTGTTGTATGGCACTAGAAGCTTTTGCCGGAATTAATTTCGGTGTGAATCTTAAAGATAGAGAAAAAAAATCGCTCAAAAGCTGAATTTTTCAATAGTATTTTGTTTGAATTGAATCAATAAAGAACCCTGTCTTCTTTTCATTGGTTAGAAAAAACCCGAAAATAAGCCCAAAAATTGAGTAAAATTGGTTCGATTTGTTCGAGGTAGCTAATGTTTTCATTGCAAATATTAATTTTTTTCTAGTAACAAATGCAGTTCGATATAAAGAAGAACTTCGAAAGTTCAACTGTAAAAAATTGTTCGACTGCCTAATCAACAGATTTTTGGCGAAGAACCAATGTGCCGAAATATTAGGCTGACACTATTAAATGACTCGCAGAACCTATATGTAAACCACGGTGGCGTTAGCTTTAATCCGCTGTAAAATATCATAAAAGCAACTAGACTGCTCGTAATAGGGCATAAATTACCTCAGACGCACTACCAAGTACAATTTGATATATGTTTCTCATTTAGTGACAAAGTAGTTGATTGAAACAACCCGGGTTAACCAAAACTTCTTATCATACAATTTCCATATATGACAAACTTCTAGTCATACAATTTCATACAATTCCATACGTACAGAAAATTGTATGAAAACTCTATGATAAGCATTTTTCCATATATGAAAATTGTATGATAGGTGTTTTCCCATAAACCAAAAATTTTGTTTTTTCTTTCTAAATTTAGTTTCTGAAAAATTTTCGGTTGTAGTTGCAACCGAACACAAGTGAAAAAGACCTTGGTTACTCAAAACACCAAAGTTTGGACGGTCTTGCATTTACAATGAGAAAACGACCTGAATTTGGCTGTCTTTCACAATTTATATAACAAAAGTAACAAACTTATATTTTTTGGCAAAATTTTTTAATGATGATTATATTAAATTTTTGAATTTTCAAACTATCAGACATTGATCAAGGCGTACATTAACACCCCAAACAAAAGAAAAAGGAATTTTCAGCGTTTTTGAAAAAAAAAATTCAGTGAAAAGAAAATAAAAGCCAATTTTATCGTATCCAGGACTACGTTATGCACACAAATTATTAAATTTTGCATGTAAAATTTTTTTTTTTTAAAAATGTTTGTTTGCGTACGAAAATCGATTTGCGGTTGAAAAAAATTTTGGGCCAAATTTTCAAATTACTTGAAAAATTTTCTCTGTCGCCATCAAAAAAATGCCAGTCATACAATTTCCATATATGGGAATTGTACGATAAGCATTTTTTTCAAAAAACGAAAACCTTCAGTTTTTTATCTCCAGATTGTTTTTTTAGAATCAAACAGCCACAGAAATGAGTTTATACCAGTTTTCAACCATTTTTAGAAATTGTATGAAAATTGTATGACAAGCATTTTCCCACACACTTGATGTATGGAATTGTATGATAAGCATTTTCGGTGTATGGAGGTCAACCCGGGAATACAATATTCAATATGGAATGATTCAATGCTCCCGTTCCGAACTACTTTTTTTTTTACTTTTGGCGAGTAATACTTAATTTCGAATATAAATATCTGTCGAGAAACTTATTATTTAAACGCAGCGCCAAAAACTCTATGGACTCAACCTTTTTATAGTGGATAATGGTTAGCAAAATGCATACAATCTTTAAGCGAACGGCATGAAAATACTAAAAGCGTTTAAAATCTGAATTCTGAATGAATTTCAGATTAAGGTTTTTGATTAGGTCAAGGTCAAATGTCCGTAAAATTTTGAGACTTTTTAGTTGCCTTGATTATCGATTACATTTTTAAGTAACAGTTTTTAATTCAAAAATTAAACCCGCGGTTGCATGCTAATGGGAGCGTGTTGTAGGGTCGCGATTCTAATGCCAAATTGTAACATTCAGAAGCTCGTGGCTTGAAAGATATAAACAATTTTAAGAATCTTTCAAAAAAACAAAAGAAAAATCAAATTTAAAAAATGTACCCTTCCCGCACCGGAGCTCCATGGATAATAATCGATTATATTGGAAAAATGTTGTCTGAAATGTTGTCCTTATAATCCATTATAATCCATTATTGTGGCAAATTTAGACCACGTAATTGATTATCTGGTCATCAAAAATCGATTTTTTTTGGAAAATAAAAATCCATTATAATCCATTTTTTTCTTCAATATAATCAATTATTTTGTCAAGAAAATCCATAATAATCTATTTTATTTCGTTAATTCTATTTTTAGTTCTTTGAAAAAAAGCAAGTTTCAGGAAGAAAAAAGCAAGTTTAAAAAATGTAAAATTACTGAGTTTTCCTAAAAACATGCAGTTAAAGCAAAGAATAATTTAAGACATTTAAGACGAATCAGAATAACAGGTTAAATTGTG